TCGAAACTAACCGACTGGATAATGCAACGGTTGTACATTTATGCATCAAAGTAATTTCTTGCAAAGAAAATCTTTAGGATGAATAGCAAATGCTGCAACAGATACGTAGTTTTCTCTGCACTTTGTATAGGTACCATGTAAAATCATTTAACTGCAGATTTCCTAGAGCAAAGAATCCACCTCATTGTGCTTCGGCACAAACAACAGATAGCAATCGCGTTCCGTTTATGGTCATGCCAGAATAGTAAATACAAAATGCCACGCTGTCTCATGCATACGTCTTATGGCTGACATTCCCTTTACCCATTTGATTCTTGATTAAAAATGTTTAGCTTGAATATTAATTTCAAAAAATAAATTAAACTTTAAAAAACTGTGTACGCACAACGCTTTCAACGCAACATAAACCAACTGAAATTTCTCAATTAAGAGCCTGGTGAAAACAGAGCAATTGTGTTCAAAAACAGTAAAACACAGAACAACGATCAAATTTTAATTTTTGAACAAAAACTTTAACATGAAAGAAAAAACTTCAAATAAGAATAATATTATCAAAAAAAATTCTCTTGAGATCAACTAGTAAGTAAAAGGCGAACAGCAGATCCAGCGATAAGGCCCGTTGTCTATAAAGATACTAATGAATCGAGGATAAAAATAATGCTTGAACAGTATTACCAAAGCAAATACTATCTCGACATCTACTCTGATACTCTTGTCACCCTGGGTGTGACTGATTATCACATCCATGTACAATAAAAGTAGGAGCGAAGTCGGAACGAACTCCTGCAAGAAATAAATGCCAAAATTGAGAGATCTCGACTAAACTACATCTAGTCTGATGCTGGACCTTCGATCAACATCTTATGATTCGATGACACATAAAAACTGGCATTCAATCGCATATTTCTCAAGACATGCACACAGCTTGCTGCGCGGAATCACCTCGTAGTCATTGTATCATTCAACAAAGCACATGCTAAATAGGTGAGGGAACCTTGACGCTTTTCAGCAATCTTACGTAAGGCAAAGATCAGAGGTAAGTGGTATATCGGTCTGAATGAAAATCGAACAGCTCTTCTTGGATCTTGGAGTTGGCCATTCCGCGAAAGTCCCTTTCCAACACCTCTTCTCAAGAGGTTCAGTAACATAATTCCCTGATAACCGAAGCACTCTGTAGTGACTCTGTTGTTAAACAAGTTCTCGTCTGTTTATGTTCTTCCCGAGGTCGTTGGAGAGTGACATACGCATGTTAGCATAATACTTTAAACATCTATCTTCGGGCGAATTTCACAGAATCATAGAATTTTGCTATTTTTATGATTTCCAGTTCATCTACATGCTATAATGCCCCTCAAGCGAGTGTCCTACACTTGCTCAGGATGAAAAACCCCTGGCTTTAGCGTACAAAATCTAAGCTGTACCAAATCAGTGCTAATTCTGAACTACCTTGAACACATGTATATAAATAGTGAGTGAGAGATGGCCTTAGCGGACAAAATGATGCGAAATATATCTGCCACGGAAGGTGCTCAAATATCATGATGCTCGGGCTTGCTCAAATCGCCCTCCTAGGTAAGGGGACAATGCCGTATGCCGTAAAATCTAGTCTCAGAGGTTTACACAAATAATGGTAAAAAATGTAAAGCACTTATTAAAATTTTTGAAAAAAACCGCATAAAATAACTTATTATTAATTGACGTCGTATACAACTTGTTGGGCAATGCAGCGGCTAAACTTTGCAGTGTGTTAAATCACTTTTATACTGGTTTTCTCTATGACTACCACAGCACGACCAAATAATCCGCCTTAATAGATCATTTTAATTTTCATAAATAACTATCATTATCGTCTTAACAATAAATTATGATAGTTGAAGCACTACTGGAAATTGTCTACAAACACAGAAGACCAAAACAAATTCACAGAGGTACGTGGTACGACCTGGTCTGCGATGGCAAATAGGGAATACAAGGAAATGTTCAAACAAGGAATGTGAGCGGCCAACTGCTTTCCGGTCTGTTTGATGAGTTACAGCTGCTGTTTCAGGTCGCGCATGCGCTAATATTCAGTTCATACGCAAATTTCTTCTCGAAAAAAAAGTGTTCGACCTGTTCAAGGTCTATTTTCTTTCACAGATTTCTTCGATCATTCTGCAGAAGGCAAAAGAAATAACGGATAAATAAAAAAATAAGATTAAATCAAAGGATAAACATAATTAAGAATAAATAAAATCAATAAACAATGTAAGAAAATGAAATAATGGAGCAAGCCTGTCACAACAGGTGTTTACATTGGCCTTTGACTCGCCATCACTCGAGAAAAAGGGTACAGATCGTGTTTACTGGCAAAGCAACTTGAGCATAACTTGCTCACGTATGTTCGGCCACGGGATCGATGCTGGCAGACTCTATTTCTAAAGTCTGTTCATAAGTTATGTGTGGTGACAGCAGAACTCAGCAATAACTCAGGGGACTATATATACAATTATTATTAAATCACCTAATTTATTGTTTACCTTTGACGTTACTGAAGTTAGAATTTAGTTTAAATTTAATAATTTCGATGTTATCCTGTTATTAAAGAAATCCTGCGTTGAGTAATACTTTATTAAAAGTTTCACAGTTAAACTTAAGGAATAAATACCACATTGCGATATCTTTTGAAGACGAATGGTCCAGTTTGAGAAGAGATTCGATTAGCTAGATGGCGGTGGGTACTGCCATGAACATTACGTAAGATTTTTGGTGGTTCAGTCTACATGACACTGAATGACCATCAAGCTGCACTTTAATGACCACGGGCAGGTCTGATGCGATTGTCGCTTCGTTTTCCTTCTCCGCAAAAGCAGTTAGTCGTTCGGAAGTCACCCAGGAGCAGATCGAGAACATCAATCAATCGATAAATAGGTTCAAAAACTCGCTTCTTCTGCCACATGATGATCATGCGGTGCAGGAAATGCAATTAGCCGAATGCAACAGCACCTTCTTTAACATCTTCATGAACTGGTGGCAAAATTATGCTGCGTCATAACGATATCGGCAGCCAGCTTCAATAACATAATGATAATTCGGCAATATACCTCTAAACGCACCCATCTGAGAATCGAAGTGTCACTGCTGCAGCAATCTTCTCACGAATTTTATGCTGCATGAGGTTCCGTTAAAAGATGAACTTTCTTCACCACCTCCTCCTCTTCCACGACCTCATTTTGCACAGATGTGACAATATTCTTTAAACGAAAAGAAAAGGAAACAAAATACACTTGTAGTACTCTATTCGCTTTCTGACCGCAGGAGTACATTACATAGCATATGCGTATCTCTTATTCTAATGATTAATACTCAGCTCAGGCTTTAGGATTTTGCTTATTTCAGCTTGGCATTGCGAAGAGCTCTATTACGAGTTACCTAATTACATCTCTAGACAACCTTATAGATACAAACTTACAGACAGGTATGTTACTAGTCACTTTTGCCTATCTTTTCTGGAACTCTCTTGGCGCAGTAGCATACTGGTTCCCAAAACCTTCATGTCACTCATGCGGTTTGCTAAAACACATATTTACCCTGATTTTACGGGTTTCTGGTTAAGGAAATCTCACCTTTTGCTTAGACGAACTGCACTCCCATTAATCTTCTTATTCCTTCTTCTCCTTCCTATTCGTTTTTCTTAGAAATTTATGCCTATCCTATGTTGAGGTATATTAATCTTCAGTATCGTCCCATGGAACTCACATTCACTAATTTCTTCTTCTGCTTTTAATTTTGTTATTTCTCAATTTTTCTGCTCCATCTCTTGTTCTTCCTCATCTATCTAATGCCTGAGACGCTTATGCCTATTTCATGCAGAGGTCTGCTAACTCTCAGCTACGTCTGAAAAATTGATGTAGAATAATATCTCAATCTTCTTGTTTATTTTATCCCATTTCTGCCCTCCCACCTATTTCTCCATTTCCCTCTCTCATGATGTTTTACCTCCTTCCCTGTTTAAAAATTAATATTCATTCCAGCTGAAGTCTATAAATTTTCACTTTCATCCTCAAAAATTCATTCAACATGATTTCTCCATAGTCTTTCTCCTCTTTATTCTATTCATATTCTTCCTACTCTTGTTTTTCTTACTGGTATACTTATGTTTGCTCCATACATAGCTTAATTCAGCTTCAACTTCATTTTGAAAACCGCCTGTACAATAAGATCTCCTTTGTGTTTATGTTTCATCCACTTACGCTTCTTCCATTTTTCTTTCTCGCCTGTCCCTCCTCCTTCCGTTTCTTCTTTATAAATTTATGCCTATTCTATGCTAAGGTCTAGCAATCTGTAGCTCATCTTCACAAGTTTATATCTAAAAGTAGTTTCCTTATAAAGTAAAAACATCATGGATATGTGCTTCATATCGAGCAATTTCTTCTTCCATTTCCGTTTCTTCCTCTAGCCCTTCTTACACCTCTTCTATCTATACTTTCC